ATTGATTAAATAAATGTTTCTACATATGAAGGAACAAACAGTAGTTTTGCTGGAGATTACAGGATGTATTGGCTAGGCAAAAATAGATTTTTAAATTGTTTTGGGTCACCAGTGGTATATGTTACCTTCCTGAGTGGTAGTTGATGACTTCCATTTGTCTTACTGAAAAATCCAATCTCTGTGAATATTCTTCTCTATATTAACCATCTGAGAAATTGGTGTGGTGGAGGTTGTTGTGTATTACTCTTGTAGATCTTTTTTTTTTGTTACAAAGGCGTTTAGTTTATTCTCCTCATCAGTGTCACTGATGTTCTCATGTTCACATTTCCCAGTGTGCTCCTCTCCTTACAGTAGTTAATGTGCAATCTCACTTACAGGCCAGGGCGGTGGGGGGGGTGGACTCGGCCCAAAGCAGGGCAGGTGTTGGCATTCCACGTGGACATGGCAGGTGCCCTGTCCTACGGGAACAGGGGTGGCCAGGGAGGTGGAGGGGGCCTCCAGTCTTTTTTGCGTTGGTTGGTTATTTTCCATTCATATTCCTTCCTGGCTGCCCAAGGATGGGGTTGGGGTGGGTACCATGCAGCTTGGAGCAGGGCGGGGGGAGAAAGAAAAGCAGCAGGCCACCCAAGAGGGCAGGGTGGATGGGCACAGGGTGGCTCCTGGGGTAAGGCACGACCCTGTCTTTGGCTCTCCTGGTGAGGAATTTCCTCCCCTGCACCCCTGCCCCGCCCCCCAACCCCTATCCCCAAACCAACACAGTCCCTGGAGCCAGGGGCACCTCCTGGGGTCCCTGAAACAAGGGGGTTCTGCTACCCAGCCCAGTGTTGCAGGGGCATGGAGGAAGGACGGGCACGCCGTGCCTGAGGACAAGGCGAGGAAGGGCTAGGCAGGGGTCTGCCCAGAACAAAGGGAGGGAGGGAGAGGACACTTGTCCCAGGAGCTGGCCCCCAGCTAAGGCCTGGAAGGGGGAGTACCTAAGGACTCCTGCTTCCTTTTGGGGGCTGGCTGGAACCCCAGCCCACCCCTCTGTGGCCCCGGGGGCCCACCAAGTGACCAGGATATTGTGCTTTGGGATGACGCTGGGGTAGGGTGTCAAGGCCAGGATGAGGGGCAGGGGAGGTGTGACTAAGGTGCTTGTGCTTTAGCTGGGGGTGTCGACTCCCCTCTCATACACTTGCCCCCACACCCAAACACACTCTCAGGCCAGAAAGTGGAGTGCTAGGATCCCAGCAGAACTAGACACCCTTCAGCCCCCTACAAGCAGATGCTGGAAGGATGCCCTTCCCACAGGCTGGTGGGGGCTGCTGGGTAGGGGTGGGGTGAGGCCTCCAAGTCAGATTTCAAGGGTTCGCTGGGATAGCCCCAGCCACCTCCGGCAGACCCTGCTTATGGAAGCAATGAGCTGTCAGACTTAGGGAGGAGGCTCTAGTAGGTGAGGAAAAGGGTTGGACAAAAAATGTCACATTACACCCAGCAGCATGGGGGGGAGTGAAAAAAAAAAAAAGAACCCTCTGGTTCACATGTAAAATTTAAAAAAATCAAAACCACTCGCACTGGGTGAGGGTAGGAGGAATGGTTAGAGAGAAAATTCAGCAAACTGCTAACAATGGAGTGGGTCCTGCCCTTTTCCCAGGAGCTGGGCTCTGCCAGTGTAGCCCTGTGGGGGAGCTGGCCAGACCCAAAGAAGTTCAGGTGGTGGCCAGGCCTGGAGTCCCCCCTTGGAAAGGTGCACCCACACTCCACATGCACACATTCATTCAGCCTGGCTCTCACCCCCCGTCCCATCCCGCTTTCCACGGCCCCCGGGACCAGAGGGGACATCAGACACAGTCCCATTGGTTTGAAAAATAAAAGGAATCTTATACTTCAATATTTCATTAGCTTAAAAAAACGTTTTAAAAAGTGTGTACAGGGGCGGGAGCTGGGAGCCTGCCGCGGGATAGGGTTGGGGAGGGAGGGAGGGGCAGCGGCCCGCCAGCATGCTTCCCTGGCTCCAGTCCGGTCCCACTGCCTCTCATATCTTCATTTGTTTAAAAGCAAGACCTCTACACACGCACACGCGCACCTGTGAGCCCCGGAAACCTCTTGTCCTATCCTCAGACTCTGGGTCTGCATCCCTCACTTAGGACCTGCCCCTCTCAGGCCCCAGGGGACTAATGGGTGTAAGAGAGGCTGGGCACAGGGTGGGGGAGAGAGAAGGGTGCTGGGCACACTGCCACCTGCCACCTTAGGTTGGTCTAGGTCAGTCGTAGGATTTCTGAGACTCAGTTTTCCTCAGCTGTCACAAGGGCAGTCCCCACAGCCTCGCCTACCCCAGCCCCAGGCGCAGGGACAGACGAGAGAGACAGGAAGGCGCTTTCGGAAACGTGGAAGCACTGGGAGGTGGTGGCAGGAGGGTTCCTGAGCACCCTGGGGCTCCTGCAAGGCCCAAGGGGCTGCAGTGAAGGGTGGAGCAGAGGACCCCTCGGCCTGGTTGAGTGGAATGGGAAAACAATTGCTAGGGGTTAGGAGAGGGGGAGCAAGTGCTCCCCGACTGTGCACGAGTGTGTGCGAGAGAGAAGGCCACGCAGAGCTCGCACCACTGCCACCCTCTCCCAGCCCACTCGGATCAGGGTCAGGGTTGGAACGGGAGGCCGAGGGGCCGGGAGCATGTAGCACACCCTGTGGGTCCTGGGGAGGGACAGACAGTAGCTCGTGACCAAGATGGCAGGTGGGTGGGTGACAGGAGGGGGAGTGTGACAGCCTCTTGGAGGGCCTGGTGGGGGTTACTGGAGGGCCTCGGCCGAGGGGCCAGCCTCGCCATCATGGCTGGCCGTTTCAAAGCTGTGCTCCACGCCCATCATGTCCGGCTCTAGCTTGCCCGTGTCACTGATGAAGGTGCTGTAGGTGTCGCTCTCAGGTGGCTTCCCCTCGGGAGTCCAACTCTTCTGAACAACACGGCGGGCATTGGTACACATGTCAGCTGCAGTGGCATTCATTTCACTCTCCTTGAAGTTTGGGCAAAGTTCTGGCAGTAGTACTTGACAGCGTGGAGGACGCGACTGTCCAGCGGTTTACGCCTGGGGTCATTGGTGGAAGAGCGGATGCCAGTGCCACAGCTGTTGGCCAGTGTATTCCGGTCAAAGAAGGAGGCCAGGAGGCGCCGCAGCAGGACCTTGTGCCCTGTGCCTGCGCTGACATGGCAGTTCATGAGCTGTGCCCTTGTGATATACACATTGGTGCCTGTCACCAGCTCTAGCTTCTCAGAGGGGTCACCCTCATCATAGAGCTTGGGGTGGCAGCGGTTACCAATCTGATTGATGAGCTCGGCTGGGAGAGAAGCCAAGTCTTGCCTCACCCGGATGCGATTCCGGGACTCTGGGGTCACCTGCTCAGGGAGAGCCTCCACCTTCTCAGCACTCTGGCCGACATTCATCATGCTATACATGGTGTACAGGTTGCAGATCTGTCGGTACTGCTCGTCTGTGCCCGCCTCGCCTGCATCCTCCTCCTCGTCCCCCTCACTGTGGTAGGAGCCTGGGCTGTCGCTGTATAGGCGCTCGAGGTGGCTGGGCTGGTCCGCTCAGACGTGCTGGGCCCGCTCGCCACGCCGCCTGCTGCCGCCGCCGCCCAGGCCTGCTGCGGTGGCTGGTTGGTGGCCAGGTCCAGTGTGGAGGACCTGGCCGTCTCGCGGCTACCATGGCACCACTGCTGCCGCCAACGCCAGCCTCCTCCTGGCTGCTGTCCCACAGCCGCTCGGCCACAGGCGTGCACTGCACCGAGTCCGACTCCTGCTGTTCTGCCTTGACGCTGACACGAGGGGCAACGGGGTGCAGCAGGCCGTCCGGCTCGATGTCTGAGCCACAGGGCTCGGCTCGGAAGCCGGTGCCGCCTCGGCGTGTAGGCCCTGGGAGTCGCGGCTGGGGGAGCTCACCCCGGGGAGGGCTCGGTGCCCTTCTCCATGATCTGGATCTGAAGGGAGCCAGCTGCATACATGAGTAGGAACCGGTCCCCCATATTCATGCCCAGCCGGCCCGTGTAGAGAAGCTGAGGATCTGCTGGAAGGACGGGCTGCCCAGCTGCTGGCCGCTCTGCCAGGCTCCGGCTGCTGCTAAACAGGCCCCGGAAGTAGGAGCTGCCAGCAGCCAGTCCCGCCCGGTGGCCTTGAAGGCGTGACCTTTGACCACCACCGACACGTGGCAGTACAGCCTGAAGCCGCTGCTCATTCGGGCGCTCAGAATGCTGTTGCCAAAGTTTGGGATCTCCATCTGCAGGGTCTGGGCCATGATGGCAGCTGCACCGTGGCCGCGCTGCGGGCGCTCCTGGCGGGCCCCGCAGAGGCGGCTGGGGCCGGGCCTGGGCCCGGGGTGCACCCCCTGCGCCGGGGCCGCGGCCGCCCAGCCGAGCCAGCGCCGGTTCTCTTGTAGATCTTTTTATTGAGGAGAGCTGAAAGTGAATTTTAGGTCCTTGGAAGAGTTTTTAATGTGTCTCTTTAGGTTGACTACACCTCTTCATCACTTTTCTAATTCTTATAGTCTCTTCCTTAACCTGTTAACCGAGCAGGACGTATTTCCACGAGTTCGCGCCCGTTATATGCTGCGTAATTAAAAAGGGAATTCCGTGGTTAACAGGTTAAACTAAATAACCTACATCTTAATCCTTTTCTTTGACTTCTTGAATGTGGTAAAACATGAAATGGATTAAAACTGCTTTCAGCTTTTTAAAATAATGACTTTAAGTATGACTAGATTATATGATAACCATGAGGAAACTTACCCCTATAGACCGTGTGTTTCGAAGAGTCAGACGAGATAGGGAATTATTGCTTTTACTGTGTTGTGAGTAAGTAGTATGTGTTTTTCTGACACCTACCTGTGTCACTTGTTTGCCTAATTTGAGGTTTCTGGACTTTTCTGGGGGAGGGTGACATACTTGGGGTGAGGGGTTTGGAGAGAAGTAATTCAATGAAGGTTAATAAAAAAAGGCCTCTTCTTGTTTTTATTTTTGTTGTGTGTGTCCAGGATTTAGAAGAATTCTGCTTTAAGTTTTGCATCAATCATTTGACAGAAGTTACACAGACTGCAGCATTTTGGCAAATGGATGGCCCTCTGCTAAAGGAATTCATTGCTAAAGCCAGTAAATGTGGAGCCTTTAAGAACTGAAGCCAAGGCTGCTGGGTTTTGTGTGAGTGCTCTGGGCACTGGTGATGGTGTGTCCTTGGTGCTCTGCGGGGGATGTGATTCTGCAGGTAAACCATCAGGTGGTTCTTCTCATATCTGAGACAGTTCTCTGTGTAGGAATATATGAAGGATGTACAGCTTTTCCTGAACCTACTTTAAACAACTCTTGTTTCCAGATATGTGTTTTAAATGTGATTATAGGTTTGGCTGGAACATTGTAAAAGGGTGAAAGTTTAGCTGGTTACATTTTGTTTTTTTATTAGAAGAATTTATGAACTTGGAAAGGGGAAGTTTGTGGCAACTCTCCTGGCTCTAATGTCTACAACCCTTTTGACATTAGGAGTTGGGATAGTTTGAATTGTGAGGTAGACTGAGGCCCCAACATGAATTAAAGATGCTGACGGGGGCTTGTTGAAGTGCTAGTTCACTGTCTTACTGTGAAGGAATAGCTGAGATCTCTGGAGGCTTCTGCTTTTGTGTTTGCACTATTGATGGACCTTTTCTTAACTCCATGGTGTATAAAAATAATACTCAGTTTAATATGAATTAAATCTCTTGAAATGGTGATTATGTAAAGATAAATTTCTAGGTTAGCCAAGATTTCTCTTAAGACTTAAACACATAAAGAATAGTAATTTAGAACGGTCTGTGAAAAGCTGATGATGAAAAACTGTGGACAAAGGTGAATATTTTATAAATTAGAATCTCACTATTATTTAATGATGTTTTATTAAGATAAAATTTGAGAGCTCAAGTTTAAATGCCCCCCACACCCGTTTCCCTATAAATGCCAATCATAAGAGGAATGATGACATTATTCAATATACTCTTGCCTTCCTAAATTGTGGCTGCTAAATCATCAGATCTCCTACTTCTGACTTGAAGAAGAGATTTTTAAAACCAACTCTGTTCCAGGACTTAATGGAATTTCTCTCTTATCTAGGCCAAATCCATCACCAGTTTGCATATTTCAACCTTCTCCAGCTTTGCTTTTTGATTTTCCTCTCCTTTTAATTGTGTTAGGTCTAATATTTAGCATAATTGGACCTTGGAAAACGATCAAAATTATGTTATCTTTTTCTTGAGTGGGGATATGGTTATGAAGTGTGATTTTGAAGTTAAGAATATTCAACTCAAAGTTTTATCCTGTGTGTCAGTTCTTAAACAAAGCTTCGTCTGTCCTCTGGCCAACAGATTATTTCCATTTGTGGGAGCTCTCTTAGAGAACTTGTTTTCCATCTGAACTTGAAGCCTAAATACATTTGCAGAGCTAAATTAACAAGAAGGTGTAGAGATGCAGCAGCTACTACTTTTAGCAATGTTTTTAAGTGTGTGTGGTGGCAGAGGAATGAGAGCCCAAGATAGGAAGAATTCATTGATAGGTAAAATATATGCAAATCTACAAGTCCCGCCCCCCTTTTCTTGACCATGTTGCAAGTTGTTGAAGCCCTGTGATTGGGTTAGAATTAGTTCTGCAACAGGATATAACTTTTCTTTCTAGGTTGATAAGTACATGTTAATTTGAATATTAATTATGATGAGTCGTGTTTGTAACAATTACTACTGTTCTGTAGGCTTATGATCTGGACAAAACATGAACTTCAGTATGTTTACTATTGCTCTTACTTGAAAAAAGAACTATAAAAGCACAAATTAAAGTAGTAGGTCCATTTCCATACATAGTTCATTCATTCAACAAATATTTACTGATTTACTAATGTAGGTGAAGAACCACTTCACATATTACTAATTTGTATAAGTATGTATGTAGAGATGAGAATAGGAATAAGTCCTTCAGAATTGCTTATTTTTATTTTTTTTAAGTACACTTATTTTTTTACTTGGTTTTGTTGTTAATCATAAAGATGAAATTTATTCTTTGAATTGCATTTCCATCTGATGTAGTAATGAAAGCCAAAGTGTTATATTTCTTAAAATAGCCCTAAATGTACTCTTGATCTTCTTACTGGAACAATATTTGATACTCTAATGTACAGGTTGTATTTATGTAATGTTTAGAACGGCATATTAATAAAGTAATCTGTTAAAACAGGCATATAGCTGCCCCCCCCTTAAAAAATCAGTAATATGAAGCCATAAAAAGAAAGGAAATTCTGACACATACTACAACTTGGATGAACCTTGAAGACATTATGCTAAGTTAAAGAGCCAGTCACAAAAGGACAAAGACTGAAATGATTCCACTGACATGAGGTACCTAGAGGGGTCAAATTCAGAGACAGACACTCGTTTTCTCTTTCACAATCCTTTGATTTTATTCTTGCTGAAAGATAGTACAGTTAGAACTGTCACAGTAGAAAAATGTATCTGAATCCTTTGGGGTGTTTATACATGAAGGGAAATGTCCTCAAGGAATGTATAAATTATTAGGAAAGATTTAGGAGTTAACACAATAACATATTTGTAAACAGCTTTTCAAGATAGCGAGAGAAAACCTAATAGTTAATAAGAGAAGCATATCTGAAGATGTCTGTGCAGTGTGGGGGAAAACGTGTTCTTTTAGCTCATTTCCAAAACAGCAGTTAGGAGGCACAAGCAAAGGCTTACAGTTGGGGGCTAATGAGACTTCCAGAGCTTAACATGAGCAAGTTTGATTGATTAGAATGGAGAAAAGCCAAGGTCTGTTAGGTGGAAATGTAGATGAGGGTGTGTGTGTACGATTTGTTTCCCATGGTGCCTGGCACCATGCCCTGTGCTGCACATACTATTTTTTCGTGCCCACATCTTGTACCATAAGGTAGTCAGGATTAGGCTCAGAAAGATTAAATAATTTGATTCAGTAGTAAATTATATAGCTCAAGTACAAAGCCAGGTCTGTTTAAGTTTGCCTGGTATTTGCCTACTTTATAACTGCGAAACACAAGCTGCATTGTGCCAAGTTACCTCTTGTGAATGACAGATTAAATGTGAAAGGAAGTAGGGGGACAGAGGTTTTCTTTAAAGATCATGATGTCAAAACTGTTACTGATAACGCTTTGGTATAGGGTGTATTATTGGGCGGAAGCTGAATTAGTTACCATCTAGACCAGGGGAAATCTCAGTTCATGGGGTCTGGGATGGTCTTGGCTGTTGGTCTGTTAAGTCCCCTAGGTGATTCTGATGTGCAGACAAATTTGAAAGCCACTGATTTAGATTTTGTCCCTCAGGTAAAAATGACTTGGGCTAGGGTTGCCATTACAACAGGAATGGACCTGTTCCTTTTCACCTACATCTTGTTTTTAAACAGGTATTTTTTTTAGTACTTATTATGTGCCAGGCACCATGCTGAGACTCAGATCTAACTCATTATGAAATGTAGCATTATTGTGAATTGCTTACTATCTAAAAACTTAGGAATGTGAATGTGAGGTTTTTAGGGGTCAGACGTGGTGGAACATAAGAATATGAATTGTTTATTGTAAGGTTGAAAAAAATCTTTCATTTTTTTTCATTCTTGCATATTCTCACTGATGTTCTTATTCAGAGTGTAGTTTAAATTTCAGTTTATTTTGAAGATGATGTATGCCCTTGTGGTGACTGGCTGAAAACTGAAAAAAAAAAGCAGACTTTGTGACAAGAAGACAGGTAAATTTGGTACAAGTGAAATAAAAGATTCAAGTTTATTATATCTAAGAGGCATTATGGGCTGGAAATAGTCTCAAAAGATAAAAATAGTTTGCATTTATTTAACACACATTTAGTGGGCATGCTAGATGCTTGGGAACGTAACAGTGAGCAATACAGAATAGTGAGTTCCTGCCCTCAGAACTTATACTTCAGTAGTATGATGTAACGTACAGTGGGTACACTGGGAAGTAATATGAAGATGCAGTGAGTGGGAGAACTGGTATAATGAGATCTGCAGAAGGAGCAGTCAAAGGCAAAAGAGCAGTTAAGACTTAACAGGGAAGTGCAAAAGGCCCCGGGGCTCGGAGCACCTGCTGTTTACTGGAATCAACCTAGACCACTGGGAGGTGGGGGAATTTTTAGTACAGAGGGTGGGAGATACATGGGAGGTATGATCCAATTTATTCATGTAGAATCTAGAAACAGTTTGCAGAGAGGAGAGGTAGGAGAAGTGAGGTAAGAAGGATGCAGTAAACACCCAGTTAGGCTAAACAAGTAAGGGCTGTTGAGGATAGAAGTTGCAGACCAGAGAGACATGAGAGGCCTTGTCCTAGAGATACGTGGTTTTTACAGGTCTGGTCCCGATTCCTGGCTTAGAAAATGGTAACTCTTACGAAGATAGAGAAGACATTGAAGTAGGACTTGACCTGTGGTCTCTATTTCCTTGAACAGAGCACAAGGTTTGTTTTAAGTCCTGAAGTAGCTCAATCTCTTCCTTCAGCTGCTGCTGTTTTTCTTCAAATTGATGAATGTTCTTCTCTAATGCTATGGTAAGAAATAAAATTATTTCAGGTTATTCAGTATTTTATAAATAATGCACGATGTCTAGCCCCTTTCATTTGCAAGAGCACAGTACACAATTCTATGCCCCAAATGAAAAGAATCTAGGGTCTTGGGAGGAGGAACTGGTTCTTTTATGTCTTTGCTTCCTCTTCTTATTCATGATAGAATTCTAGTATTTTATTGCACATAAAGCTGGTTGGTAAATCCTTAAGATTCCACATACATTTTTAACAGAAAAAGTCCCTTTTGTGTGTCTTTGTAAACTTGAAAGCAGTGACTGATAATTTTCATGCTATACTATATCCACTTTTTGAGAGATGATGTTTGGAGAGAGCATGTGGTTAGAATATCAAGACTAAGGGCAAATCTTCCATAAAAATATATTAAATTTTTAATGTCACATAAAAGCTTTTGATTTTATTTAGAAATAGAAAGGCTTTTAATGTGGAAACTTAAGAAGATTACTCAATGGCAATGTCATTTTTTAAAAACTTCAAAATTGAAGAATATTAATACAGTCATCTTACAACATCTATATACCTGTTGTTAACTTTCTGGAACATTAGAAAGGCTAAGAATTAAGCAAAAGTGTCTTATCAGTTGGGGTGTTAAAAGTTAAGCCTTTTGCCCTGGCAGGTAGCTGTTAGAGTATCCTCCAGATATAGCAAGGTTGCAGGCTGGTTCTCTCGTCAGGGCACATACCAGAAGCAACCAATGAATGTATAAATAAGTGGAACGACAACTCAGTATTTCTCAGCTCTCTCTCTTTAAAATCAATAATGAAAATTAAAATAAAAAGTTAAGCCTTTCAAGTTGGGTCTTATGAGATTCCAAATAGTGTCTCCTCCTGATGCCCCACCCCACATATACTACATTGTAACCTATAGACTCCCAAGTAGTGACCTGTGACATGTTCCAAAGACCTGGAACTTTTATATAAAAGAAAAATAAGCACAGATGAAAGTCCCCTACAAAATAAAGCTTTTTAGAAGATTTTAAAGGCTGTCAAAAAGCAAACAAAAATAAAACACCACGGATATTCCCATTAGCAGTACAGTACACCCTCGATTACTCAGACCTCGATTTAACGTACTTCAGATTTAACAGAATTTCCAGTCCATATGTCATGTGTGAAAATTAACACCCTGTTAATTTTAAAATGCTTTAAACCAAGATTTGCTTATAATTACATCAACAGGTTATTTTTTGTTATTAATTCACTGTTATTTTTAACAAATTTTAGTGAATAGGCCATATGTTGGGAAAAAACACTGCAATAATTTCACCAACGTAAATAAATATTACATACCTACAACTGTAGTCTACATATTTAAATCCAAGAGTCACTGCTCATAAACAGTGTTCAGCGAATGAGTGGTAATTGGTTTTGTGTTAACTGGTTGTTGTCTCGCGGTGTGACTTTCTGCAGCAGTTAGAATGCACGCGGGCCGGTGTTCCCACTGCGCTAAGCCACGCCAGCCCTGTGCGTGTGTTCACTCCTGGGGACTGGTGAACGCACGCATTTACTAGACCTATTTAGTATAAATTTAAGATTATAGTAATACATATAGAAAGCTTTTCTGTGAAATTAAACTCTTCAAATATACTTAATAACACAAATATACTTTTTCTATATACGTAAATACAGGTAAACTAACTTATTTGCAAATTTTTAAACCTACACATCAGGAAAACCTACTTCATTATATAAGACTTTATTTCTGCTTTAACGGACATTCCCTCGCCCTAATTAGTCTGTTACATCAAGGTTTTACTGTATATAGACATTCTCAAGAGATGGTTAAAAGATACAATATTTTTGGTAGATTTAAAAAAATATTTTGTAATACAAAATTCAAATAGAAATGTGCAATATGGAAACAAAAATGAGAAAAGCTTGTGTATATTGAGACAGGGACAGGAACTAATATTTTCTATACAGGGAAAACCTCTTGTCCTGATACCATTTGCTGGATAGACAAACACATTATTGAAAAGGACAGAGTGTACGGCACCATGTTTGTGCCACTTCAGGGAAGCTATTTGCAAAACATTCTGTGTGCATCTGGCTCCCACTCCCACCGAGATGTGCAGTGCACACCCACCCAGCTGTGTGTGACAGCCTTGATGGAAAGTGAAAATTCAGCCTGTTTTGAAGGCACTTTAAACAATAGTGAAAGGACCTACTCAATAAAATGGTTAATAATTTTATAGAAAGGTTAAGTCTCTACCTCCACCAGGTATTCTTTTACAAAAATTTCTGGGCTATTCTTGCTCCTTTGTTTCTGATAAGCGTTAGAGTTGATCAGTCACAACCCCCGTTGCCACTTGATTTGCAGATTAATGTTGGGAGAAGTTAAATATGTCTACATCATACCCAGTGAGAGCGAGACAAGTGGCAGCTGGATTTGCCACAGCCTGGCTGCCTGAGGGCAGAGGCCAAGGACGCTTCATCTGTTCCTGCCAATTCCTGAACATGGTGCCAGTGTTCCGCCACTCTGCAGTTAGTTTCTGTTGTTTCTACACAAAGTATTATGTATATGTTAGAAAATGTGGAAAATGCAAAGGAAAGCACTATGATCCAGCCATCCACAGATAAGTATTGTTCCCATTTGGTGCAGTTTTTATGTGTGCCTCTGTATTTACATGTTTTTTTCTATCTTTTGTAGTGTCACTTTTTCATTTAATAAAACGATGTGTCCATTGAAATGATTTTTATCACCTGATTAGCATTATTATTTCAATATATATGATAAATATTTATAAACTTGGCTGCTCAATTATAACTTATATACCTTCTTGAAAATGTACGAATGTGTCTTCAAATAATCTACAGTCAAAAAGTGAAGTCCCAATTTCTTCATAGTCTGGAGGGAAAAAAACATTTTCAGTTTTAATTTAAATAATTTATACAGGCAGAAACACCTTACAAAACCACCCAAAAGGAAAAGCAAACAGTTATCTACTGGCGAACTGGAGTGTTAGACTGCAGCAGCAGCAGCAGCCTCACCTGGGAACTTGTTAGAAATGAAATTCGTGGCACCTCTACTGAGTCAGCACCTCCAGGGGCGAAGCCCAGCTATCTGATTTAATAAGCCCTCTGAGGGGCATGCTCAAGTTTGAGAAGTACTTGGTCTAGAGTCTAGACAAAAGAATAAACAAATAAAAGAATGCAATGAATGAGTTTTTGGAAACGTTTGCTCTTAATTTCAGTTTTTGGTTTTGTCCTTTAGAAAATAATAACTTTCAAATGATCATTTGTTTTATATTGTTGCCTAAAATATAGACTATCAAGCTTTTCCTTGTAAAATAGCTATATTTATAATAAAAGTTTGATGCTCATAGGATAGATGATGATAAGGCTAAGTGGCTATATACCTGCACATATGAATGAACTTGAGTTTTCCAAAGAGCTCCTAATGAAAGGTCACATTTCACTAAATCAGACATCAATCAGAACGTTAAAATTACTTCTATACTTTAAACTTGAACAATACCAGAAAAGACACTTGGCTTATTAAGGAACAGAATTTGAGTCAAAGCAAAACAATGCCATTCTCAATTTTAGCAACAAGTGTGCTCAGCTGTGGGGTAGGGGAAAAGGGGGTGGATGTGTGACTGAATCTGGTTTGAAGTGCCCATCTCCTGCTAGTCACTCTCAGCTGTGCACCTCTAGAAAATACATGCAAACCTTTGGGCATTAGGGTACTTTTTTTTTTTTTTTTAATGTTTTTTCCTTAATTTTAGAGAGAACGGAAGGGAAAGCGAGAGAGAGAGAAACATCGATGAGAGAGAACACCGATTGGCCGCCTCCTGCATGCCTCCACTGGGGATTTGGCCCACAACCTGGACATGTGCCCTGACCGGGAATCGAACTGGCAATCTCTTGGTACATGGGTGGATGCTCAACCACTGAGCCACACCAGCTGGGCATCATCAGGGTGCTTTTTACAAAATTAATGAGTTTGTGAATTACCCACATCCTGTTGCTTTATAAAAGACAACAGATCTGGACAATGGATTTTATTAAAGAATGAGATAAAGAAGGATAAAAAAGATTTCAGATAGAAAAATGTGTGCATGTTTTTGTTTTTATTTTATATGTAGGTCTGTGAGAAGTCTATGTAGGAATTTTGCTATATTAGTACCTGATTCTGAAGTAGTCTCCTCCATGATTCTGTCATGTATCAAATGAAGTTTGCGTAATATTTCTTCAAACAAATCACTCAAAAGTCCTGCTTCCTTACATTTCTTAAGAAAAGCAACTTTCACACCTGCATCTAAGAATAACAGAAACATTTTAGAAGGAAACAGTCTCAGGGAAGCTATCATAAATCACTTTGTGGTCACTTTTTCAGACCTGGCCTAGTGGCAGATGAGCATAATTAGTTATGGTAATACGTACAGTACCTTTAGCTTTTCTGTTGTAATTTCATCATGCCTCATTTTTTCTAGCCGAAGCAATGAATGAAATGTTATGAAAATGTGAAAAACTGTTTAGAATAATTATATGAATCAAGAGAATTCTAAAATTTTACTTCAACTCTGAGGTGACAACCTCTGTCATTTTTTTCTGTCAGTTACTGTACTGTTATGGAATGCTTTGGGCTTAAAAAAACAAAGCTCTACTTCCTGGCTCCCGCTCCCTGGGAGCAGGTGATCCCAATGGGAGGGTGCAAATCACTGCACTCTGAGCTCACGCTACCCTGGCTTCTCTATCAAATGTGTGGCTTATCTTTTTTGTAAATATTGTAGGTCATATTTGTTACAGACAAAATTTATAGCAAACCTGTGTGTCTGACATCCTCCTCTTTCATTGGTTTTATGGACCTATTTAATATCATTGGTTCAGGTAGCTAGAAGGAGAGAAAAATCAAGATTACACTGATTTTACTGTTGGTATTTAATGTTGCATTAAATAAAAACCAATCTTTTGTTGTGTATAATTCAATTATATGCCTATGGTGAAAATCATGCCCCATATTCATTTGTAGATGTAAATATCAAATGTATTTTTATTTTGTATAACAAAACATCAAGAGTTGTGACAAACACCTCTTGTATAAATAGCAGAAGGTGAAGGTTGCTGGTTCATATTTAGCTTGCATGAGCGATGTGTAAAAAACTGTTTGAAAGCCCCAAAACACTTTCATATGCTTTACATGTAACAGTGATCCAGAAAATTATTAGTTACAAATTAGGTCAAGTATGGAGAATACAGCTGGGAAATACTTGGCTAGTTAAGGGTGCTCGACTGTACCTCTGCTCATTTTAAGACCATAAGCACCCTGCAGGTTCAGATTCTTACTAATTTAGTACCAGGGGGTGTGTTAATAGGAGCTGTGGGGCTGTCACCTCCTGAATCATGTGCTTGGATACCCAATACACATCTCACTCACTTATCTTTACTATTCATTTCATTAAGGTTCTGTCATCATTCCACCTGAAATTCAGAATGGTTAAAATGAGGACTTTGTAAGAAGAAACGTAAGGCTATAATAAAATTAAGTCAAAGTACCTGTACAGAATTTCTTGTTGAGAGACCTTTTTTCCTTTCTCTTTTTCTTTTCACTCCTGAAAAATGAGCTGAAATATGAATCATGTAGAAACCAGAGTCTGTAAAGGAAAAGACTGATGCTTGACTAAATAAAATATAAAAGTCTTATATGCCAAAAGTTATTACAAAGTCAAAGGATATGGCAAACTTAGACTAAATGTTTGCAACACATATGATAAAAGGCCAGTTTAAAAGTTACAAAAAGATCTTATAAATCAATACAAAAAGACATTTGAGTAGAAAATGAGCAAATGAGGAGCCCTCTGGGGAGAGGGTTCACTGAATAGAAAAACAGATTGGGTGACAGGAAAATAAATGTAACTGATAAAAAGATAGGGGAATACACCCAATTTCATAAGTAAAAGATATATAAAGTAAAACTAAGAATTTTTTACCCATCGGATTGACAAAAAGCAAGGTGCTCAATATATAATGTTTGCACGGTAATTATGTACTGCTGGTGCAGCCTCTTTGGAGAAAATTAACATAGTTACCCAGAGTTTCATTGTTTATAGTCTTTGATCGAGAAATCTACTTATAGGAAGTTTTGCTAACAGTAAAGTTGCATAAAGATACAAAGTTGAATGGAGAAAAATGCTAACTATGGTATTAAATGTGATAGAAAATACTGCAAATAACCTAGATGTTCATCATGCAGAGACTGGTTCAATTGTGGTTCAGTATGTGACTAATATAAACAATGGAACATTACACAGCCTTTTAAAAGTGAAGTAGAGTCCTGGCCGGTTTGGCTCAGTGGTTAGAGCATCGGCCTGCAGATCAGAGAGGCCCGGGTTCGGTTCTTGCTAAGGGCATGTACCTCAGTTGTAGTTTGTCCCCGGCCCCAGTTGGGGTCATGTGGGTGGCAGCCAGTCGATGTGTCTCTCTCACGTTGATGTTTCTCTCTCTCTTCCTCTCTCCCTCCCACTCTATCTGATGATAAATGCCAAAAAAAAAAAAAAGTGAAGTAGATCCACTTGTGCTGATATGGAAGGGTCTCTAGGATATAGTAAGTGAAAAAAGCAAAGTACAGTAGTAGGTAAGTTTATACACACAGAAAATTTTTGGAAGAAACAATCCTCTGGGGAGAAGATTCACTACAATGTTATAATCTGCTTTTAAAAACTAATACATTATCGTTATCTTTCCCTGTCAATAAACACTGATTGACAATAGGGTTTTTCATAGTATTTCCCAATAAATTAAAAGAGTAAACTGTTCAAAAAAAAAAAAAGATATTGCATTGAAATGGCATTTAATTTCGAACGCTTCTTTTATGCATACCCAGTTATTCTTTTTTCTTTTTCAATCCTCACCCAAGGACATTTTTTTCCTACTTATCTTCAGATAGAGTTGGAGGGAGAGAGAGAGAGAGAGAAACATCGATGTAAGAGGACACTTCGACTGGTTGCCTCCTGCACGACCCCAGCCAGGGCTGGGGACAAACCATAACCAAAGTACGTGCCCTTGACTGGAATCAAACCTGCGACATCAGTCTGCAAGCTGATGCTCTAACCACTGAGCAACTGGCCAGGGCCATACCCAGTTATTCTTAAGTAGAGTAATTTATGTCCCTAGTCCACCCTCATTAGGACCTAAACTGTGGCCAATAAGGCATATATTTCAAAAGAACGTAAATTTAGGATTTCTTACTCTTCTTCCCCCAAACATCAGCCCATTATCACAAAAAAAGTTAAGGTACTAACTGAAAAATGAGGATAATGATACTGTTTGGGAGTGTTTACCACCACAAAATGAAGTTGGCATGACACAGAATTGAGCCTTTTCCAAAGAGGACCTGACTCGAGTCTACAAGGAGCATTCCAGATTTAGTGCTGATAAGATACTGTTGTTTGTGCGGTACTCGGAAACCCTTTGTGAATGAATGTCCATCCCATAATTATTCCACTTAGCCAGCGTCCAGTTTTAGAATTGAACTGCTAACCATGCATTCTCTCTCTCTTTTTTTTAAAAAAAAATCTTCACCCGAGGATATTTTTCCACTTCAGGAGGGAGAGAGGGAGAGGGAGAGAGAGAGAGAGAGAGAAACATCGATGTGACAGAGACACATCGACTGGTTGCCCCCCCCCCCCCCCCACTCCCCAGCACAACCCTGACCAGGGCTGGGGACAACCACAACCGAGGTATGAGCCCTTGACCGGGGAATTGAACCTGCGATTCTGGTCCGCGAGCCGACGCTCTAACCGCTGAGCCAAACTGGCCAGGGCTAAACATGCATTCTTAGGACAGCTTCATTTAGGGACCATGCAGCACTTTTATCAATTTTATCTACTAAAAATTCTGATATTCTTTTAGAAGAGAAGTGGTCACAAAAGGCAAAGCTTTTTACCTTTTCTTGGTGTAGTATTCTGAGTGTAGTGAGGATGGAAGACACGAGACAAAGGCGTTACTGAGAGTGGGCCTAGTTCACAAAGAAGAAAAGTTAGTACATTATATTACACACTACACAAAGAACCTGACAATGTTATATGCAAAATTTTAACTCAAATTTGTATTTCAACTCAGTGAGGCTAGTAAATCAGACTGTTTTATATCTTACCTAAATGTTTATCTTTCTTTAAACCCACAATACTAAATTTTAGAGACTTACTAGATTGAATTCCTTTCGATGGATCATGTTGTTGGCAAAACACCCTGGAAACATGCAATTTCAGAGAATTGTTAAATATTTTTATTTACACTTTTTGAACATCATTCCTATTTTCTTATGATTTAAAAAGGAATTAACCTATCTTTTATGATGGCGTTGCCCTAAATAACTGTTCAAGAAAAATGCTGTTTGAGACTTCTGATCAAGATGGCAGAGTAGGTAAAGGCTGTGCTGGCCTCCTCCCACGACCACATCAAATTTACAACTAAATTAATAGAACAACAACTCAAGAATCACCTGAAAGTCTAGCTGAACAAAACTCCTGTAAGTAAGGATATAAAGAAGCAGCCATGTCAAGACTGGTAGGAGGAGCAGAGAGATGAAATGGGCTGCTCCCACACCCATGTGTGGCTGTTAAGAACTGGGAAGGTTGCCCTGGCCGGTTTGGCTCAGCGGTTAGAGCGTCGGCCTGCGGTCCTGAGAGACCCGGGTTTGGTTCCCGCTAAGGGCACGTACCTCGGTTGCAGTTTGTCCCCAGCCCTGGTTGGTTGTGCGGGTGGCAGCCACTCGATGTGTTCCTTTCACATCAATGTTTCTCTCTCTCTCTGTTCCGCTCTCTCCCTCCCACTCTACCTGAACAAAAAAATGGAAAAATGTCCTCGGGTGAGGATAAAAAACCAAAAACAAAAAACAAACAAAAATAAATAAAAGAACCGAGAAGGTTATCTCAGCTGCGGAGATCCCCAATGAGGAGCAAGAGGGTCCCAGCCCCACACCGGCTCCCCAACCCAGAGCACCACTGCAGGAAGAGGAGACCACGACGTCTGGCTGTGACGATCAGAAGGGACTCGCTCTGGGGGAGGGCTGTTGTAGACCCAGACATCCTCTCAAAGGGCCTGAGCACAGACTCATGCACACTCACTCACCATAAGCTCCAGTGAAGGGAAAGCAGCTCAGAAAAGTGTCAGGGACATATGTGGAAGAACTAAATAGTCTGGTGTCAAGCAAGGCTTGGAAGGGCAACCCTCTCAGGGACAAAAGTGCCAGCAGGCACCATTGTTCCTTTGCTGACCTCTCCCCACAGGCAGCTGGCAGGCACTAGTGGTCTCCATCAACCTAGCTAACAGTTTGCCCTGACCTGGTGATCCCCTGAGATCCCACCCCACCCCACCCAATTCCCAAACCCATCTGAACCTCTTTCAGAGGCTAATCCACACAAGTCTAGGCCTGGGCTATGGACTTTCCTAAAATTTCTCAACGTTCAACAAACCCCAAATGAACAGTGGCTGGCCTTGGCTTGCCATATACCTCTTGCTAAGTGGCCCCAAGTCTGCAGGGAGTGGCAGCCAGCCTCAGTTCACAGTATAACAACTACCAGGTGCCTCCACTCCCAGCACAGTCACCAAACTAGATCACTTTGTAGCTCCTACCAGGTGGGCCAAACTCAGGCAGCAGCTGACCTTGGCCTGCACTGGAGCCCCTCCTAAGAGGCCCTGGAACCAACATACCTGGTAGCCAGCTTCAGACCACACCAGTGCACCACCAATTATTGCCACAAATGACACACTCAAATAGTGGACTTGGCAGGCCATCAAAGCCCTACTAAAGCAAATCCCACTTTGTGGGGTCAACCCCTCCACAACAGCTTTCCTGCTGTAGGCATGGCCAGTCCTCACAACCAGTCAGCCTGAAGGTCAATCCCACACACTGATGTGTCAACATCAATCAAGGCTCAACTACAACAGGAGGATACACACAACCCATACAAGGGACACCCCTGGAGCAGCCAGTGCGTGGACAGGGAGACTATGACACTGGGCCCCTCAGGATACCTATTACATAAAGCCTATCTGCCAAGAGTCAGAGATGTAGCAATCTACCTAGTACATAGAAAGAAACACAAGGAGGCCACTAAAATGAGAAGACAAACATGTCCAAAATGAAAGAATTGGACAAAACTCCAAAAAAGAATGAAACAATATGGAGACTAACAATCTATTAGCTATAGAATTCAAAACAATGGTTATATGGATGCTCAATGAACTTAAGAGAAGAATAGATGACATCAGTGAAAATTTCAACAAAGAGATAGGAAACAAACAAAAAGAAGTTAGAAAACAAAAAAGAACCAGTCAGACATGAAGAATAAAAGAACTGAAGACTAAATTAGATGGAATCAACAGCAGATTGTGCCCTGGCCAGTGCTGCTCAATGGTTAGGATTGGCCCATGCACTAAAGGGTTGTGGGTTTGATTCCCAGTCAAGGGCATGTATGTGGGTTGCACATACCTGGGTTGCAGGTTCTATCCCTAGTCCCTGTTGGGGCACGTGTGGGAGGCAACCAATTGATGTATCTTTCTCATATCAATGGTTCTCTCTCCCCCCCTATCTCCCTCTCTCCCACTCTTTCTAAAAATCAATGGAAAAAATATTGTCCGGTTAGGATTAACAGAAATAAAAAACAAACACAAGATTAGATGAAGCAGAGGACTGAAATCAACAATATGGAAGACAACATAGGAGAACAGCAAAAAAGAAAGAATTTTTGAAAAATAAGGATATTTAAGGGACTTATGAGACAACATACAATGTAACAACATTATTATCACAGGGGTACCAGAAAAAGTAGAGAGAAAGTTGTGACTGATAATTTATTTGAAGAAATAATAACTGGAAAATTATCTAACCTGGCAAAGAAAATAGATGCACAAGTCAAGGAAGTACACAGAATCCCGAACAAGATGACCCAGAGGCCCACACCAAGACACATCATAATGAAAATGCCAAAGGTTAAAGACAAAGAGAACCTACAGCAAGAGAAAGCTGTCAATTACCTACAAGGGAGCATCCATAAGACTGTCAGCTGATTTCTCAACAGAAATTTTGCAGGCCTAACGGGATTGGCATAAAATATTCAAAGTGATGAAAAAGCAAAGACCAAGATTATTCCACCCAGAAAGGTTATCATTTAGAATCGAAGGAGAGAGAAAGAGCTTCCCAGACAAGAAAAAGCAGAAGGAGCGCATCACCACCAAACCACTATTACAAGAAAGGTTAAAGGGAGAGAGAAGAAGAGAAAGAGTTGGAGAAGGAGGAGAAGAAGAAATAAAAAATATAAATAATAAAATATTGCAAAGAAAAGTTCTCACTGATAAACGCAAACAATAAAAGCACTGGATCAGTCAACTATAAAGCTAGCTCAAAGTTAAAAGGCAAAAGTAGGAAGATCATGAGTAATTACAACAGTAAATTAAGGGATGCGCACGCATGCACACATGAAATAAAAAATAATGACCAAAAAAAAAAAATGTGGAAGGGGAGAGTAAAAATGGTAGTGATTTTAGAATTTAAGTGACCACCAACTTAAAATAGACTTCTATAAACATAGCTTGGGATATATGATGCATATGGTAACCACAAACCAAAAACCTACAGGAGATATACAAGAAATAAAGAGAAAGGAGCCCAGCCGGTGTGGCTAAGTGGTTGAGCATCAAGAGGTCACTAGTTCGATTCCCAGTCAGGGCACATGCCCAGGCTGTGGGCCTGATCCCCAGTGGGAGGCAAGCAGGAGGCGACCAACTGATGTTCTCTCATAGATGTTTCTATCTCTCTCTGTCTCCCTTCCTCTCTTTCTAAAATCAATGAAGAAAAAGTTTTTTTAATTAAGAGAAAAGAATCAAAACACAACACTACAGAAAGTTATCAACATATACGAGAGAGCAAGAGAATAAGAAAGGAACAGAATTACAAAAACAATTAGAAAACAATTATAAAATGGCAATATCTGCATACCTGTCAGTAATGACTTTAAATGTAAATAGATTAAATGCTCCAATCAAAAGACAATGGATAAAGAAGATGTGGTACATATATAATGGAATATTCCTCAGCCATAAAAAGAATGAACTCTCCCCTGGCCAGTTTTGCTTAGTGGTTAGAGCATCAGCCTGCAGACTGAAGGGTCTCAGGTTTGATTCCCGGCCCCTGTTGGGGTCGTGTGGGAGGCAACCAATCAATGTGTCTCTCTCACATGGATGTTTGTCTCTCCCTTCCTCGCTCCCTTCCACTCTATCTAAAAAAAAAAAAAAAAAAAAAAAATCAATGGAAAAATATCCTTGGATGAAGGATTAACAACAACAAAAAAGAATGAAATCTTATCATTTGCAACAACATGGATGGACCTAGAGAGTATTATGCTAATTGAAGTAAGTCAGACAGAGAAAGACAAATATCCCATGATCTTACTTATTTGTGGAATCTAATGAACAAAATAAGCTGACCAACAAAATAGACCCAGAGACATGTAAGTAGGGAGCTGACTGACAAAGCTCAGAGGGAAGAGAGGTGGGGATCTGGGAAGAGATAAACCAAAGAACTTATACAATGTATGCATAACCCATGGACACAGACAACAGTGAGGTGAAGGCAGGGCTGCGGTGGGAGTGGGGAGGAAGGTGTCAATGGTGGTAAAAGGAGGGACATCTGTAATACTTTGAACAGTAAAGATAAATTTTAAAAAAGAACAAAATAAAATAGAAACAGACTCATAGATACAGAGAATAAAATGATGGTTGCCAGATGAGAGGTGGGCTGGGTGAAAAAGGTAAAGTGATTAAGAAGTACAGATTAGTAGGTACAAGACAGTCACAGGGATATAAAGTACAGCATAGGGAAATAGTCAATAATATTGTAATAACCATATAGGGTGCCAAGTGAGTGCAAAACTTATCAAAGGGATCCACTTTGTAAGTTATATAAATGTCTAACCAAACACTATTCTATACTAAAACTAATTAGTTTCTGTACCTGAAACTAATATAATATTGCATATCAACTATAATTGAGAAACTAAAAAAAAAAAAGTTTAACTTAAGCCAAAAAAGAAAGAAAAAGTGCTGTTCGAACCTGTGTAAGTTACTGACCCACATTAAGTAAAGAGGGAGCCTCTGCTAGATGTCTTCCATGCTCTCTGAAGGACTTAGTGCTGACTAGATATTTTCAACAAACTAGTTCATAGGATTTTACTGCATAAAGATACCTAAAGATCCAAGGTCTAAGATACACAAAGTTTTATCTGACTATACAAAGTTCTGATTTTCAACAATAAATAGCAGAAAATGCATGCATTAATTTAGGGAAAGTAGTTTTCTAACTCAATAGGCACCCCCACACTGCTGATCTTAGATTTGAGCTGCATAAGCCTAGACTTGATCAGCACCCTAGAAGAGAAGAAAGTAGCACAGCAGGCTATGAAGAAGAAATGGTGAATTTTAAGGATCTGCTCAGGTTCCATTTTCTTTTCAAGCTTTTCCCTCCTTAGCCCCCAGCTACATCTCCTTCCTTTCCTTACGGTGCTGACCCTCGCCTACGGGAACGCGTGAATTCTTCCTGTCCCCCATCAGTTCCCACCTTCTCCATTCAGTTTTCCCAGCAATCCCACCTCTTCTCCTAATCAAAATTAGTCTCCTCACCTTTTAGATTCTGGTATCTCTGAGCATTTTCATTTGCCTGGTACTTAAATTTTTTTATTATGAAAATTTTCAAACATGTATAAATATGGAGGAGATATGATGAACCCTCAGACCGTAACCATCACCCAGTTTCACCCAACTATCAACTCAGGGCCAAGCTGGCTTCAGGTAAATGTCCTCTTGCTTCCATTGTGTCACATGCTTCTATTAGTTTGAATCGTTCTGGTCCTCCCACAGGTGATAACTTCTCAAAGGTTTAGTCCATGTCCTGTTCCTCTTCATGTTCTCACTGCACCTAGCAAGGTGTCTCATGTATGATATGCACTCTGAACACTTAAATTCAATTGAAAAATGCATAAAAGATCACCTGATACTTGATAAAGCAATGACAAAATAATTATTTTATTGAGTCTGTATTCATTGGTTCTACTAGTGTGTGGTATTTTTTTTTTCAAACTTTAAGATAGAGCAGGAACTTGATTCCCTTTTGCTTAATCTTGTAGCTCTTGTTTAATAATAGTCTTTATATTGGATGTTACAGTCACTATATAAGTCATAATAAAACAGGCTCTTTGGAAGGGTAAATAATAAAAGAGAAACTGAGTGCTTCACTGGTGAATTCTACTGAACACTTTCAAAGAAAATTTAATACTTATCCTTCTCAAATTATTCACAAAAGTTGAAGAGGAGGGAATGCTTTCATTTGATAAGACCAGCGTTACCCTGATACCAAAACCAGACAAAGATTTAAAAAAATACACACACACACAGAAGAAAAAAACAAAACAGAAAATTCTAGGTCAATATTCCTTATGAACAAAGATGCAAAAATCCTCAACAAAATATCAAACCAAATTCAATAATACATTAAAAGAATCATACACCAAGATAAAGTAAGATTTATTCCAGGGATTCAAGGATGCTTCAACATCCTCAAATCAATCAACATAATACACCACGTTAACAAAATAAATATAAAAATTATATGATTATCTCAATAAATGCAGAAGAAAAGCATTTAATAAAATTCAACATCCAGCCCTGGCCGGTTTGGCTCAGTGGTTAGAGCGTCGGCCTGTGGTCCTGAGAGACCCGGGTTCGGTTCCCGCTAAGGGCATGTACCTTGGTTGCAGTTTGTCCCCGGCCCTGGTCGGTTATGCGGGTGGCAGCCACTCGATGTGTTCCTTTCACATCGATGTTTCTCTCTCTCTCTCTGTTCCTCTCTCTCCCTCCCACTCTACCTGAACAAAAAATGGAAAAATGTCCTCGGGTGAGGATAAAAAAATAAAAAAATAAAATAAAATTCAACATCCATTTATGATAAAAACTCTCAACAAAGTGGGTACAGACAAACAAACCTCAACAAAATAAAAGCTATATATGACAAGCCTTCAGCTAACATCATATACAGCAGTAAAAAGTGGAAAGCTTTTCCTTCAAGATCAGAACAAAGATGCCCACTCTTACTATTTTTATTCTCAACATAGTATTGAAAGTCCTAGCCAGCCGGAGCAATTAGGCAGGAAAAAGATAGACAAGGCATCCCAATTGGAAAGGAAAAAGTAAAACAGTCACTATTTGTGGATTACACAATTTTTTTTTTATCCTCACCTGAGGACACTTTTTGCATTTATAGAGAGGGAGAAAGAGAGGAAGAAAGAGAGAAACATCAGTGTGAGAGAGATACATGGACTGGTTGCCACCCACACAATCCCAACCAGGGTGGGGGACAAACTGCAACCGAGGTATGTGCCCTTAGTGGGAACCAAACCCGGGTCTCTCCAAACCGGAGGTTGATGCTCTGAGCCAAATTGGCCAGGGCTCCACAATTTTATATATAGAAAATCCTAAAGACTCCACAGTAAAAATAACAACAACAAAAAAAACTGTTAGAACTAATAAATGAATTTAGTAAAGCTGCAAGATACAAAATCAATATAGAAAAACCAGCTGAATTTTTATACACTAACAATGAACTATCAGAGGGAAAAAAATTGGAAAAAAACCCCAATGCAATTCAGAATTACATCTAAAAGGATAAAATGCCTAGGAATAAATTTAGCCAAGGGTGAAAGACCTCTATACTGAAAACTGGAAGACATTGCTAAAAGAGACTGAAGAAGACAAATAAGTGAAAGCTATTCTATGCTGATTGGATTGGAAGAATACTGTTAGAATGCCCATTCTACCCAGAGCAATCTACAGATTCGATATAATCTCTATCAAAATTCCAATGGTATTTTTCACTGAAATAGAACAAATAGTCCTAAAATTTGTCTGAAACCACAAAAAAATTCTGACTAGCCAAAGCAATCTTGAAAAGAAGAACAAAACTGGAAGCATCACACACCCTGATATCAAACTATATTACAGAGCTACAGTAAAAAAAAAAAAAAAAAAAAAAAGCATGGTACTGGCATAACAACAGACACACACAGATCAATAGGACAAAATGGAGAGCCCAGAAATAAACCTATGACTATATGTTCAATTAATGTATAACAAAAGAGGCAATAATATACAACAGAGAAAGGACAGTCTCTTCAATAAATGGTGTTGGGAAAACTGAACAGCCACATGCAAAAGAATAAAACTGTCATACACCATAAACAAAAATGAACTCAAAATAGATTAAAGACTTGAATTTAAGACCTGAAACCATAAAACTACTAGAAGAAAAATAGGAAGTAAGCTCCTTGACATTAGTCTTAGGGATGTTTTTGTTTTTTAAATTGTTTTTTTTCTTTATTGATTTTTAGATAGAGAAGAAGGGAGAGGGAGAGAGGGATAGAAACATCGATGAGAAAGAACATCGACTGACCGCCTCCTGCATGTCCCCTACTGGGGATTTGGCCCACAATCTGGGCATGTGCCCCGACAGGGAATCAAACCGGTGTCCTCTTGGTGCATGGGTCAATGCTCAACCACTGAGCCATACCAGCCAGGCTTAGGGATTTTATTTTTAAGGGATGTTTTTATGGATCTAAATCTAAAGGCAAAGGCAACAAAAACAAAATAAACAAATGGGCTATATGGACCTAAAAAAGCTTTTGCACAGTGAAGGAAACCATCAACAAAATGAAAAGGCAACCTACTAAATAGGAGAAGATATTTCCAAATCATGTGATAAGGGATTAATACCCCAAATATATAAAGAACTCATATAATTCAATAACCCAAACACAAAATAAATAAACATTTTCCAAAGACATACAGATGGCCAACAGGCATATGAAAAGATGCTCAACATCACTAATCATCACGAAAATGCAAATCAAAATCACAGTAAGATGTCACCTCACACCTGTTAGGATGGCTATTATGAAAAAGGTAAGCAATAGGAACTGTTGGTCAGTATGTGAAGAACCCTTGTGCACTACAGGAGGGAATGTAAATTGGTGCAGCCATTATAGAAAACAACACAGAAATTCCCTCCAGAATTAAAAATAAAACTACCATATAAGTCATTTCTGTGTATTTATCCGAAGAAAACTGAAACACTGATTTGAAAACAACACATCACCCGATGTACAGCACAGCTTCATTTACAACAGCCGCAGATGAAACCAACAGACGAACGCTGCTGTGCGGCACCCACACGCTGGAATCTGCTCCTCCAAAAAAAGAACGAAACCTTGCCATTCTCGATAACCTGAGGGGAAATTGAGGGTTTTATGCTAAGTGAAATAAGCCAGACAGAGAAGGACAAATACTGTATGATTTCACTTATAAGTGGAATCTTAAAAAAAAAAAAAAAGGAGCAAACAAAACAAAACCAATCTCATAGATACAGAGAACAGAGTATTGGTAGTTGCCACAGGGGAGGGTGGTAAGAATGTTGGTGAAATGGGTGAAGGGGATGAAGAAGTACAAACTTCCTGTTATAAAATAAATACGTTATGGGGATGTAATGTGCAGCCTGGTGACTATTGCATTGCAAATTTGAAAGTTGCTAAGCTAAGAAAGTCAACTGTGAAAGTTTACATCATAAGCAAAAAAATTGTGGCCCTGGCCAGTTGGTTCAGCGGTTAGAGCGTCGGCCTGTGGACCAGAGAGTCCCGGGTTCAGTTCCCGCTAAGGGAACGTACCCCAGTTGTAGTTTGTCCCTGACACTGGCCCTGGTTGGGGTTGTGTGGGTGGTAGCCACTCTCTCACATCGATGTTTCTCTCTCTCTTCCTCCCTCACTCCCTCCAGCTCTATCTGAAGATATATGTAAAAATGTCCTCAGGTGAGGATTAAAAAAAATATTTGTGTAACTTTGCATGGTGACAGATACTAAATGGACTTAGAATGGTGATTACTTTGCAATACATGCAAATGTCAAATCATTGTTATACACCTGAAACTAATATAATGTATGTCAATTATACTTCAATAAAAAAGAACAACTGAGAATATTATAACCCATAAGTTTCTCAGCAAATCAAATATAAAAAGAAGTACAGCCCTGGCCAGTTTGACTCAGCGGTTGGAGCGTCGACCCGCAGACCACATGTACCTCGGTTGCAGTTTGTCCCCAGCCCCGGTTGGGGTTGTGTCTCCCTCGCGTGGATGTTTCTCTCTCTTCCTCCCTCTCTCCCTCTCTGTCTATCTGAAGATACATGCAAAAATGTCCTTGGGTGAGGATTAAAAAAAAAAAAGTACAATACAAAATTAACATATTTATATATTTCCTTTCTAGGCTCAAGCAATAAAATACCTATGGAACTTGCTCAAAATCAGATTTAAAAGTATTTAACCAACTTCTTTTAATTGGTTAGACTTGCCCGTACTGTTTTGAATATATGGCCCCTGCACTTAAAGCGGACATGGTGGCCAAGAGCAAGAAATTCAGAGCCCTGAAGCTGTGTGGCCCAGGTACAAATTTCTAAGTCTCTCCAGACATCAGTTTCCTCAGTATCTACCTTACAAGGCTGTTATGAGGATTAAATAAATTAATTTATAAAGTACCTGGAAGTATTCCTGGCATAAAGCAAGTGGCTAGTAGGCTAAATTAATAAAATAAAATAGTGCTGGTACACTTTGATAAAATTGGAGATACATGCCCACAGGAAAGGAAACATCTAGCTTCCATATGGAATTTTGAAATATCCATGCAGGAATAGATTTTACAAAAATCATATTTAAAAAAATTCTCTTGCCCTGGCTGGGTGGCTCAGTTGGATGGAGTGTCATCCTATACACTGAAGGGTTTTGGGTTTGATTCGAGGTCAGAGCACATACGTAGGTTTCGGATTCAATAACTGGTTGGGGCACATACAGGAGACAACTGATCAATGTTTTTCTTATCAATGTTTCTCTCTCTCGCTCTAAAATCAATTAAAAAACATATCCTCAGGTGAGGATTTAAAAAATAATAATAATGCTCTAATTTCATTCAAAATATTGTAATTGAAAAAAAATATATCTTTCACTGCAGTTTAAAATGTCAATCAGAATCTATAGATATGTCCTAAAGAAGTAAGACGTGTCTGCCTGGCTCCTTAATTTTAGACTGTCATTCTCTGTTTTATTCCATTTCGTAACTTTAAACAGGTCAGAACCGTTTTTAAGAATTTTTCCCTCAACTTTATACGACCTATTTTAAACTTTGTTTCCATACAAAAAAGAGTTAACTTAGCATGACCTGAATAAATTCAGTTAACAACTGGCTTACTGTTTTTTTGTTGTTGTTTTACTAAATTGTATAATTATTTAACTGAACTGAAACCTTTCATCAGAAGGAAGCTCCAGCTTCTTCCTGGATAAAACAAATATAATTCTACTGAATTTGAAATATGCCTTATTTGGGCCCTGGCCGGGTCGCTCAGCTGGTTGGAGTGTTGTCCCATACACTGAAAGGTCACAGGTTCGACTCCTGGTCAGGGCACATACCTGGGTTGTAGGTTGGGTCCCAGGTTGGGTTGTGTACTAGAGGCAGCCAATTGATGTTTCTCTCTCACACTGATGTTTCTCTCTCTCTTTCTCTATTTCCCTTTCCTCTCTCTAAAATTAATGAGCGTGTCCATGGGTGAGGATTAAAAAAAGAAAAGAAGAAATATGCCTTTTGGGTCAAAATTTACATTAAAGAATTGTTGAAGACATGAAGCAAGATTTAAAAGTCAAAAGCAATATAAACAAGAGAAGTTTCTTCAAGGACTAAAAGACTGATTACTGTATTTGCTGCATAGTTTATCATTTTTAGAAGCTATTTATAGGTAAGAGAGTGGTGCCAATGGTGGGAAAGACATTCACTCCGCAGACAAGAGGGTGCACAGGGGAGCCGTGGCTAACAAGGCTCCTCCCTGCTGTAGAAAAGGGCGGATGTGAACTGGGTCCCAGTCTCGCGGCGGCCCGTTAAGTAGGTCACCCAGTGCTTTCTACCAGGGAAGAAGGGATGAAGGAAGAGTACAACCAAAACCAAAGCCCGCCCTGCTTATTTTCTTCCCATGATACATACAGAAGTCAAGGTCCCAACCGGGAACCCCCAAACCAAGTTCCTACTTGGAAATGATTTGCATAAATTAGTTTAAAAAATCAATTTTCGGTGTGGCTTAGTGGTTGAGCGTTGACCCATGCACCAAGAGGTCATGATTCCTGGTCGGGGCACATGCTCAGGTTGTGGGCCTGATCCCCAGTGGGGGGCATGCAGGAGGTAGCCAATCGATGTTCTCTCTCATCAATGTTTCTCTCTCTCTCTCCCTTTCCCTTTCTCTCTAAAATCAATAAAGAAAAAATATTAAAAAAAATAAATAAATTTGCGCCCTGGCTGGTTTGGCTCAGTTAGGTGTCCTCCCGTGCACCAAAAGGTTGCAGGGCACATACCTAGGTTTTGGGTTCGATCCAAGCTGGGATTATATACAGGAGGCAACAAATCAAAGTTTCCCTCTCACATCAGTGTCTCTCTCTCTGTCTCTCCCTACCCCTCTCTCTAAAAAAAATCAATAAACATCTCCTCAGGTGAGGATTAAAAAAAAAATCTCTTTGCTTTAATCTAATCATTCCTTAATCAGTCCCCCAAATGTGGCTTTAGAACTGTTTTGTTAAATACTTATAAATTCCTCCAGATCCAGTGTGTAGAACTGCATGGTCATTCTTGGCACAGAAAAAGTGGTAATTCTTGGCACAGGTTTTTTCATCACATCCCACGGTGGCTCCTCTTTTACGACAAAATGTGCATTTCTAAAGAAGAATAGATTTCACTGAGTAAATATGATTAAATGTGATTTTTAAGTCACCAGCCCTAATGTCCTCAGGTACAACATTACTTACATTCGGCCAGTTAGCTAACTAGGATGCTTGGCACGGACTGTTTTATAATGATCTCATTGAAAGCAGAAAACCATTTTTGGTTTTAAAAAAAGCCAGTCTCTTCTCTCTTTTAATAAAAGATTTTCAAACAGCAGGGTTGGCAGAACTGTCCAGTTCAAGGCCCTGGGTCCCGCTGTGGACCTCGAGGCTGTGTCTGGGCAGCCGCTGCTATGCCAGCAGCTGTGTGCGCTCCAGCCAGTCCCTTCCTCTCTCCTAACCCAGGCTCCTCCCCATATATAAAAATCCCTGTTGTACAGAGTTATAATGAGGACAAGGTGAAACATAAGTGAAACACCTTTGGAATTTGTGTAGTAGACTCCAAATTTTTAATTAAAAAAACCCCTGAGCAATAAGCTTTTACTTAGTTCAATTTATTTGCTCTCGTGCTTTATATATTAGTCTACTATTCTGGTATTTTACATATGGAGGCAGTGCAGAGGTGGCTGGGAGGACAGTGTGTGGCCACAGAAGCCCAACTGGTCTAGGGGAATCGGAGCGGCGGCCGCGGCTGATGTATGCCCTGCTCTGGCTGCGTGCAGTGGAAGCACCGTGAGACCACCCGCAGAACGGGGGAGAGCGCACACAGTATTCTAAGGTCGGCACAAGCAGCCACATAAATAAGGAAAATTCAAAACTGTATTTTAAAAATTAGAAAGTATAGGAGAAAGAAAGAAGTATGCTATTGAGGTGAGGAAGACTTCTAAGCAAAGCAGGAAACCCACTTCTATTTTTATCGTGACAAATACCATTAAATATAAAAAGGAAAAGATTAAAAGAAAATGTTTGCTGCATATCTGATAGAGGGTTAGGACTGCTAATGTACACCAAGATGGGAAGGAACAGCTCAGAGAACTGCAGTGGCTAATCAATGGGATGTGGCAGGCGCTGACTAGGATGGGGGAACCATGGAGGTTGAGCTAGCCACCCACATGAAGTTAACATTCCAGTGGACACAGACAACAATCACATGAAGCAAACTTAAAAACACAGTGATATCTGCTCTGTAGAGAATTATCATAAGGAGAAGTGCCAGAGTGTCAGTGGGTCTTGACTTTAGATTGGGTGACCAGTAAAGGCCTCTGAGGAGGTGGTATAGAAGCTCAGAGTGAATAAGAGCTCCTAGCAAAGAAACACCAGGGGAAGGACATTCTAAGTAGAAGGCCTTATGTTCCAGCAGCAAGAACAAGCTTCCCCATTGGCAGGCGTACGGAAGGACTGGGTGGGGGTGCTGGTGTTGTGGGGGCAGAGAGGAGGGCAAGGGGGTAGTCTGGGATAAGATCCAAGGTGTAGTGAGGGCTGTGTCATGTAAGGCTTATAAGCCAAAGTAAGGAGTTGGAGTTTTATCCTCAAGCAATGGGAGCACAAACTGAGCGCGCGCGTGCGCTCGCTCTCTCTCTCTCTCTCTCTCTCTCTCTCTCTCTCCCCCCTCACCCAAGGACATATTTGCATTTATCTTCAGATAGAGCGGGAGGGGGAGAGGGAGGAAGAGAGAGAGAGAGAAACATCGATGTGACAGGGACACATTGAGTGGTCCCACCCACACGACCCCAACCAGGGCTGGGGACAAACTGCAATCAAGGTACGTGCCCTTAGTGGGAACCGAACCTAAGACTCTCTGGTCCGCGGGCCGATGCTCTAACCACTAAGCAAAACCAGCCAGGGCCTGAGAAATATTTTAAAGACACTATTCTGGCTGCTGTGTGGAGAATGGGCTGGGGTAAGAAGGGGCAGGAGAGAAAGCAAGACAGGTATCTGTGGTGTTCAGCAACCATCCAAAAGAGGGAGATCAGCGACTTCACTACAGGGGGTCCGTGACACGGAGAGAGAAGGATGCAAGGTCTGTAGGGTGTACTGATGGGCTGGGTGTTGGTCCGGGGGGGTTGATGAGGAGACCATGATGGATGAATGACGTGCTCTTTTCTGCAGTGAGGAGTGAACAGGTTTGCATGAAGTGTCTACAGGGGTGTAGGGGGTAGAACTGTGCTTTCTTGGCCAGTTTAACATGAGAACTGGATGAGGTCATGTAGGAAGGCTGTTCAGACTGAGGAAGGAGCCCAGGGCAGAGCACTAGACATTCCACACACTTTAGGGGTTGAGCAGAGGAGGAAGAACAGCCAAGGTGCCTGGGAAGCAGCAGCCAGAAAGGTGAGAGTGTGTCCAGGTCAAAAGAATAAAGTGCTTCAAGATGCAGGGCCCAGCCCACTGTGTGATGAACACTGCTGGAAGGTCAACTAAGGACAGAGAAGTGACATTGTAACTGACAAGATTTTTTTGGTGTAGGGAGGGTTTTTTGTTTTGTTTTTTGAGATGACTTGATCAGCTGATCATGTTCATATGCTGAAGGGAATCATCTAATAGAAAGGGGTGTACTGATGTAAAGAGGGTAGAGGGAAATGCAAGGGCCTAGTCCTGTAGAAGGGGAAGGGACTGGTTCCCAAGTCCAAGAAAAGGGTCAGCTTTGACAGGAGGGAGGTCCAGGTGTGACAGAGGTGGAAGGGTGGTGGCTTGGATAGTAGGAGCTCCTACCTAATGGTGGCTGTTTTCTCAATAATAATCAGGCAAAGAATCAACCCTAATATAAACTATGAACTTCGGGTGTTTCTAATCTGTCAATGTAGGTTCATTACTTTGTAACAAATGTATGGTCTTCTGGGGGATGTTGATGGTGGGGGAGGCTGTGCATGTGTGGGGAGCAGGGGTTATATAAGAAATCTCTACCTTCCCCTCAATTTTTCTGTGACCCTAAAACTGCTCTAAAAAATAAATAAAATCTATAAAATAATCAGGGGGTGGAAATTTGAGGTGGGGAGAGGTTTAAAGAGAGATGAGAGGATAGAAACAGTAAATGTGGAGTGTGGAGGGTCTGTTTGAGGCCTGTGGCCATCAATCTAGGATCAGTCACATTTGTGGGGTTTTCTCTAGTTCCCAAGTGCTCAAGTGTGGGTGCTACTCACCACACGCAGGTAACAGAGATGCACTCAGCAGGATCGGGGCTTTGCCGGGACGGTAAGGAAGTGGGCGGCGGGGAGAGGGAGCCCGTGGTGTCTGGAAGTGACTGCAGTGAGGGACCATGGCTACACGGTGGGCTGCTGACTGTAAAGGGATCACTGAAGAACTGCTGGAGCTGGGTGAGCTGAGAGATAGGACCTACCTACAGGAAAATAATGTGCAACGTCTCCAGTGATCAGGAAAATACAAAATAAAACTTTCCTTCAGACTGGCAAAAATGAGTAAGTTTGGATATTCATTTTTGTTAAGTGCTGGGAGCAGTGCTCTTTCACCCACTATGAACAGAAGAATAAAGTGGTACAACCCTTCTGGGGACAGTTTGTCAGCATGTTTCAAAATTTTTAAAGAGAAATCTCTTCCAAGGATGCAAGTACAAAGATGCTGACTCAGCATTAGTTGTAACCGAGAATCAACTCACCATTGAACAACAAAATGGTTTCATGTGTTCGGGGACGTCCTATGGAATTCCATGTAGTCAATACAGAGAATGGAGTCACGTGCTTATAAAAGTGCCACGTCATTCTCACCTTCCACTCTCTTGCACACCCTGTTCCCTCTCTGAATTCCCCCTTCCTCATCTTCATTTTCACCCAAAAGGATTCCTAAGCCCCAACTGCAGTGAGCTGCCTGTGGGCTGAGTGCCCGTTGCTGACCCTTCCAGCAAGTCAGGCTGTGCGGAAAATGTCCATGCAGATGCTGACACCTTCAAGGGCTAAACAAATGTTTCTCAGATCATTAACCTTGTCGTGGTGGTGGCGAGGGCTTGAGGAGCTTACACGTGCTGTACTGCCTATTAAGCTGTGAGGGGCCTTTTGAGGAGGAAGTCTAATGTAATGGACACAGGAGGGTAGCCACTCAACAATCTTCCTTGCTGGGGGGAGCTGACTCAGCTCCAAGGGTAGACCCTGATTAGTTACAGTCACCTCTAGCAATTGGGGCACGGACAGGGGTATGGCCACAATTAACCTCTCTGAAGGGCTCTTATTCCATGCTTGGATATGAACTCTCCCTTTTTCTAGACAGAAACAAGAAAGCCTGATGCTTCAGTTGCTGCAGCCACCCTATGACCACAAAGGGACCAGCTGATTTTGCGGCCAGGTGGCCAGAGAGGATGATGGGCCCCTGATGACATCACTGAGCCACTAAATGAACCAACCTGGAAGCCTGTTTCTTCTCTGGCTAAGTCAGAAAATAAGTATACTTCTTGTTAGAGCCAGTTTGAGTTGGCATTCCTCTTACTTACAGACAAAAGCATTCTAACTCATATATACTTTGCTGATAAAGGATTTTACAGTTTATTTTAAATTATTAAATGTTCAGTCAATCTGAGTTTTCAATACAGGTCCCACATCCTTCAGCTCTCCGAGACGCATCTCTGTCCTTGGTTTATTAACCAAACAGCCTTTGCTTTGAAGGCATCCCCCAAGGGTACGTTCATCTTGTATGAGTAATAAAATCATTTATACTTACCAACCTCCTTCCTCTAAAGATTTCTTTCTTTACTGCTTCCACATCAAAACTTCTATAACCGTTTTTTGGATCATCATTCTCACATTCCACCAGTGCTGCAGAATACAGCTGCAGATTGGAAAAGAAAATAACCAGGGTATGCACAAAGTAATGGCGAAAGCTACAAGTCAGAAAATGGTACCAAAAGTACTTACCAGGAGTGGAAGGTGGTAGACCGGTGACCACTTTTTGGGGTGTGTGAGCAGATCACAAGTCACCCTACTTTTCTTTGGAAATGGCCCCGATCCCCAGGCATATTTCCTATTCCCGATCCCTGACCCCCAATGGCTTACTGACCTCAAGCCGGGCCACTCAGATCTCCTGTCCTAGGAGTGGAATGGGCTCTGAGCCACATGCTCAGAGCAAGCCAGTCTGCAAAACCCAAAACCAAAACAGACCCCAAACCAAAACCAAAAACGAGGGCTAAAGAGGACAGCCTGGGTTCCCGCCGGCTCTCCAGTGCCTGTGGTTCAGAGGGGCCTGCTTGCCTCCTTCAGGAGTCACGATGTACCCCTTTTCTTCGTGTTACTTGAACCAAAGGAATTCAGCTGACCTCCGAATTAAAGATCAACGTATATACATACTTGAACTACTAAGGCATGACAAACAAAATTTTGTGATTCTGGCATATAAGCAAAGATTTCTTGGAAAAGAAACTATGTAGAAAAGGTTAATAAGTTGGAATTCTTCAAAACGAAAACTTTTTGCTCTTTGAAAGACACTGATAAAAAAACCGAAAAGGCAGGAGGAAAAAAATGGCAGCGGAGTGAATGGAAGCTACACAGATCATCTCCCAGGTCCAAACTGGAATTACAACGAAAATAAAGACAAATCATCAGGAAAAGGCAACTGAAAAGCAGCTTGGAGGACCACATAATCAGGGACACTGACTCAATCCTGGTAGGCTTGCAAAGACTCAAGAGGGGGCTGGGAGCCCACGGTCTGCAGTGGCCTGGGCTGGGACCTGTAGTGGGCTCGGCTGGCACATGCGGGCTCAGCTAGCACCTGCGAACTTGGCTGGGAGCTGCACCCTCGGATAGGTGCTGCACCTCGGATAGGTGCTACACCCTAGGCTGGGAGCTGCCATAACCTCAGCTGGGACCTATGGCCTTGGCTGGGACCTGCGGGCTCCGCTGGGAGCTGCACCCTCAGCTAGGAGCTACGACCTCGGCTGGGAGCAAAGGCCTTAGCTGGGAGCCGCACCTTTAGCTGGGAGCGGAGCCCTCGGGTTAAACTCCCAAGCAGCTCCACAATGCAGAGCCCGGACAGAGGCTAAATAAGCAGCAGCTACTCACCTTGGGCTCCAGCAGAGGGAGGGCAGACTGGACTGGAACTGTGTGGGGACACTCGGGATATGGAGGGCACTCAGAGCTTTTGCTGAGTGCAGCCACGCAGGACTGTGGTCCTCTTACTCCTTCCCAGGTCCCTGGGGAGAGGCGGCGGCCCCTCCCTCGGAGATTCAACCCCACCTGGCGGCCACTGAAATACTAATTGAGGCCCATTACCAACCAGCATCGGCCCCACCCTCGGGAAATCCTCTTACACTGAGCACCTGAGGGAGTTTTTCAGTCAACTCAGAAACCAAGGTTCTTCAGGTGACCGCTACTAATAGCCTCCAGGCAAAAATGCTAGAGGATAACTACCATTCCCTGGGCTAGCTACTCTAACCAGGAAAGTAAAACTTGACAGTGGTGTTTAAAGTGGATCCTCCCTGCCTCATCCAAACCCAGGAGAGGGAGCCACAAACAACAGAACACCAACACCCACAGGGAAAATTTGGCAGACTCCAAAACCCACTGTGATAGCAAAATGGTGAACAACAGAAACAAAAGCCAAATGAAAGAACAAGAGACCTCTACCGAAGATGAGATAAATAAGGTGCAGTTAAGCAAGTTAACAGAACTAGAATTCAGAGCCATGATCTTGAGGAAGCTCAACAGCAGGTGTAAGGACATGAGCACCATGAGTAAAGACATAGAAATGTTGAAAATCAACCAGTTGGAAATTAAAAACCACCAAAAAGAAATGAAGAAAGACATATCAGAAGTAAAAAACATATTGGAAAGTCTAAATAGCAGAGTAGAGGAAGCTGAGGACCGGATCAGTAAATTAGAAGATAGGGTAGAAAAAATGAACCAATCAGAAAAGCAAAAGGAAAAAAACAATAAAAAAGCAGGAAAACAGCTTAAGAGAACTGTGGGACAACTGAAAACTAACAACAATCGCATCATAGGATTCCCCGAAGAAGAAAATGAGCAAGGGTTAGAGAATATATGTGAAGAAATAGTGACAGAAAACTTCCCTAATTTGGTGAAGGAAGAAGGCATTCAAGTTCAAGAAGCACTGAGAGCCCTAAGTAATAAGAACCCAAACAGGCCCACACCAAGACACATAGTAATCAAAGTGCCAAAAATTAAAGACAAAGAAAGAATCCTAAACGCAGCAAAAGATAAGCAACAGGTTACCTACAAAGAAAACCCCATAAGGCTCTCAGGTGACTTCTCAAAAGAAACACTACAGGCCAGAAGGGAATGGCATGAGGTAATCAAGGTCATGAAAAACAAGGATCTGAATCCAAGACAACTCTCTCTAGCAAGGCTATCATTTAAAATAGAAGGTCAAATAAAGAGCTTCCCAGACCAAAAAAGGCTAAGGGAACACATTAGCACCAACCAGCACTGCAAGAAATGTTAAAAGGACTGCTGTAATTAGCAGGAGAAATACGAAAAAAAATATAACCACACTAAACAAGAATGGCAATAAATAATCACCTTAAATGTAAGTGGATTGAATGCTCCCATAAAAAGACACAGAGTAGCTGATTGGATAAGAAAGCAAGACTCATCTATATGTTGTTTACAAGAGACCCACCTCACAACAAAAGACTCACATAGGTTGAAAGTGAAGGGATGGAAAAAAATCTTCCACGCAAACATAAAGGGGAAAAAAAGCTGGGGTAGCAATACTCATATCTGATAAAATAGATTTCAAAATGAAGGCCATAACTAGAGAAAAAGAAGGCCACTACATAATATTGAAAGGATCTATCCAACAGGAAGATATAACTTGAATAAACGTATATGCACCCAATATAGGAGCACCAAAATATATTAAAAATGTTCTGGAGGACGTCAAAGGAGAAATCGATAGCAATACAATCATAGCAGGGGACTTCAACACCCCGCTGACATCACTGGATAGATCCTCTAGACAAAAAATTAGCAAGGAAACAGAGACTCTAAATGAAGCACTAGACCAAATGGATTTAATAGATATCTACAGAGAATTACACCCCAAAACTACAGAATTCACATTCTTCTCAAGTGCACATGGGACATTCTCAAAGAGAGACCACATGTTAGGACACAAACTAAGTCTCTACTAGTTCAAGAAGACTGGAATCATATCAAGCATCTTCTCAGATCACAATGGCATGAAACTAGAAATCAATTGCAACAAGAACATGCAAAGACATTTGAACACATGGAAGCTAAATAGCATGTTATTAAACCATGAATGGGTTACCGAGGAGATCAAGGAAGAAATTAAAAACTTCCTGGACACCAATGAAAATGAAGACACAACAACACAGAATCTATGGGATGTAGCGAAAGCAGTTCTGAGAGGGAAGTTTATAGCACTACAGGCCTACCTCAAAAAACAAGAAAAATATCTAATAGACTATCTAACCTCACAACTTAAAGAACTAGAGAGCAAACAGAAAGAAAACCCCAGAGCAAGTAGAAGGTAGGAAATAGTAAAGATCAGAGCAGAAATTAACGACATAGAGTCCAAAGGAAAAAACAAAACAAAACAATTCAAAGGATCAATGAAACAAAGAGCTGGTTTTTTGAAAAGATAAACAAGATTGATGGACCCTTAGCTAGACTCACCAAGAAACAAAGAGAGAGAACCTAAATACACAAAATCAGAAATAAAAGAGGAGAAGTAACAACTGACACCACAGAAATACAAAAGATCGCTAACAACTACTATGAACAATTATATGGCAACAAATTCGACAATATAAGCGAAATGGAAAAATTTCTAGAAACACAGTCTCCCAAAACTGGACCAGGAAGAGATAGAAAACTTGAACAGACCAATAACAACAGAAGAAATTGAAGATGTAATCAAGACTCTCCCAGCAAACAAAAGCCCAGGCCTGGATGGCTTCACGGGGTAGTTTTACCAAACATTCAAAGAAGAACTAACACCCATTCTCCTCAAATTATTTCAAAAAATTCAAGAAGAAGGAAGACTTCCAAACTCATTTTATGAAACCAGCATAATTCTAATTCCAAAACCAGAAAAAGACATTACAAAGAAAGAAAAGTACAGGCTATTATCCCAGATGAACATAGATGCCAAAATCCTGAACAAAATACTAGCAAATCGGATCCAGCAATACACCAAAAAAATTATTCACCATGACCAAGTGGGATTCATCGCAGGGATGCAAGGCTGGTACAATGTTCGCAAATCAATAAACGTGATACACCACATAAATAATATGAAGAATAAAAACCACATGATCATATCAATAGATGCCGAAAATGCCTTCGACAAAATCCAGCATCCATTTCTGATAAAAATGCTCAGCAATGTGGGAATAGAAGGATCACATCTTGACACAATAAAGGCCATATATGAAAGACCTACAGCCAACATCATACTCAATGGGTAAAAACTAAAAGCATATCCCTTAAGAACAGGAACAAGGCAAGGATGCCCACTTTTGTCACTCTTATTTAACATAGTACTGGAAGTCTTCGCCACAGCAATCAGACAGGAAGAAAAAATAAAAGGGATCCAAATTGGAAAGGAGGAAGTGAAAATATCATTATTCGCAGATGACATGACACTATATGTAGGAAACCCCAAAGACTCTATAAAAAATTTAATAGACTTAATAAATGAATTTGGCAAAGTAGCAGAATACAAAATTAATGTCAAGAAATCAATGGCACTCTTATACACCAATGATGAACTCACAGAAAGAGAAACTAAGAAAACAATCCCATATATCATTGCGGCAAAAAAAAATTACGATACCTAGGAATAAACAT